AAATATTTATTTCGACAGCAATAAAAAACTTAGTAAACGAATTTTTACTCAATCAGTGGTATGGTATCCAAGACTCTTGTATTTTGTGACTCAAACCAAACACTAAAATAGGGAAATCAAATTTGAGTACACATGTTTAGTATGAGGTTTTTCTTTTATTGGCTTTAAAAACAAATTGTTCATAAGTTCGGAAAAAAAGAAATGTTTGAGCCTGATGATTTTCATTTAAGCCTAACAACAATTAATGAGACGGACATACAATCAGGTTTCTATTTGTATAACGGTCACTAAGTATCTTTACAAAAGTATTACTCTCTTGCGAATTAGTTTCCTAATTGTTGTTTTCTTCTTCTCCAGAGCGATTCAGAGTTTCTTTCTCCAAAGGCCACCATCGCCACTAGGTTATTTCTTCCTTTAAACTTGTTAGGGTTCGTGTTATACGCAACTCTCATTTGATGCAGTGTTTTTTTTTTCCTTTCGGTTCGTGATTGTGTTTTTTCTTCTCGGATCTCTCGAACCTCGTTTTTTTTTGTTCAAAGTTTAGATTTAATTGTGGGTTATGCTAATCAATGTTAGCTTTACATACACATGTTAGGTGATTGAAGAATATACGGTATCAATCTCTGTTTGTGTCATTGTATTCTACTTACATCTTTTTGGTGATTGATTCTTAACAAGAAACCGAGGTATTGTAGAAATTAAATATATCTAACTTCTTATAAACCAAGCCATGGTGGAATTTGTTATTTCTTGATTGAGACTAGTCCTTTTGGTCAGTTTAAGTCTTATTCGGCATTTTAGCTCTCTCGCTCTCTCTACTTTGGTTTCAAATATTTAGTGTTATTGGTTGCATTTGAATTGTTAGTAGTAAGAGTTGTTGTGGTAGAGTCTCTAATCCTTTATAGGAAAATTCTAATTTCTGTGGCGATTTCTGGTTTACAGAAGAATTTTATCTCATAAGATTTTTCTTTGTCTCCATCTCAGCAAATTTTGGGTTCTGAAAAGAAAGTTTAGGTATGTCCTCCTTTTCTATTGTTCTCTGATTTTAGTACTATTGGTTGTTGGATGCGTTTAAAGTTTTGAGTGTTGCATGAGTTTGTAAAAGGTTTGAGTTAATCTTTTTAATGGTTTCTCAGATTTTCTTTGAGAAAAGCCACAATGACATATGATTTTTATTCACAAATTGTGGACACTGGACAATTACGCTTGGAACTTTTTTCACCCATGTCTTTCGTACCACTTGCAAAATCTAAATTTGAATATTGTATATTTTTTTGTTGGTCTATCTATGTCTTTGTGTGCAGAAAATTTAGGGAAGCAACAATGTTGAGTTCTTTTTTCTTCTTCTGTTACTTCTTTCTATCTGGCTCAATATTATCACATAAAATCAAGTAAATTCAGTCATGACTTTAAAACCAAGTTATGATTCTGACCACAAGAGTTTCCCTTGGTGGAGTTACATGTGATTCTTCGCTAGATGGTAACGAAACTGCCAAGTTGTGATATGTGGAATGTGGTGGTAATTTACTAGTTCCGTCACCAATACCAACGTTTAAACACAATTATGAACATCATAAACCACAAATTTTATGAAATGCATACTCCAGACACAAATGCGAGTATTAGGAGGTGTGAGCTCAATTTTTTAAGCTTTATTATATCTGGGATTTTTATATTTGTACAAATCCAAAGAACATTAAAAAATACTTCTGAATATGGATACTGATCAAATTCACCGACCTGTGACCATCCAAGAAGAGACCACGAAAATGTTACTCTGTGATTCAACTTGTAATTTGTAAGCAGATATTATCCCAAAATCAAATCAACCATTTTAAGAGGCACCGAGAAACTTAAAAGCCCAAACATTCTTCATCACCTGTAACAAACTCAAGAACCTCGCAAGATTCCCTTCTCTTCTCTGTATATATAAACAAATCATAACAGCTTTTTTTTC